GGTAGCTACTCAGGGAGATGAGGTATAAACCCGAGGAAACACAGGGACCTTCAAAATTTTCTAAAGTTTTCTATTTCTTTTTTTTTTAATGTTTTTATTTATTTTTGAGACAGAGAGAGACAGAGCATGAGCAGGGGAGGGGCCGAGAGAGGGGGAGACACAGAATGTGAAGCAGGCTCCAGGCTCCGAGCTGTCAGCACAGAGCCTGACGCGGGGCTCAAACTCATGGACTGCGAGATCATGACCTGAGCTGAAGTCGGATGCTTAACCGACTGAGCCACCCAGGCGCCCCGAAAGTTTTCTATTTCTTAAGCTGGGTGGTGGGTACACGGGTGCCTGCTTTATTACTATCCTTTACACTCTACGTAAGTTTCTATGGACTGTTTTGTATGTGTGATACATTTCACAATTTAAAAGAAAGAGTCTTAATACTGAAAAATCCCAGGCATGGAAATCCCACTGGCATTTACTAAGGATAATGCATCACTATTTTGTCCACCTGAACGGATGAATTTTTTAAGCCACTGATAATATTTACAGTTTAATACCTAAAAGTTACTTTTTAAAATGTACCTTGAGAGTCTAATTCTGAAAGACTGCAAATTTCAATAACGCCACCAACGTGACTCAAAGAGTCAAGCGTCCAAAAAAGAAAGGCAAACCAGATTAACGGATGGAAGACCTTAGTTCTGGCTGACCCCAGTTTTTTACAAGCTAACTTCCAAAGTATTCAGAAATTAAGGTCGGGTAGTACTTAGCCTAACACCCTCATATGGGATAAATACAAAACAGTGGCTGTTTTATGAAGGCACGCTAAAAGCTGCCAACCGGACACGGCTCCCTTCTTGTCCTGTCCTCCCTCAGGACATTTTCTATGCCCAGTGTTTGGTGCATTTATGCCCACCAAAAAACAATTTAACTGGGGCGCCTGGGTGGCTCAGTCAGTTAAGCATCCGACTCTTGATTTCGGCTCAGGTCACAATCTCAGGGTTCACAAGTTCAAGCCCCGCATCGGGGTCGTGCTGACAGCGTGGAGCCTGCTTGGGGTTCTCTGTCTCCCTCGCTCTCCACCCCTCCCCCACCCATGCGTGGGCGTGCGCTCGCGCTCTCTCTCTCTCTCTCTCTCTCTCTCAAAAGTAAATAAACATTTTAAAAAATCATGATTGAACTAATCATTTCACATTAGAATACTGATAGTGATAATCACAGTAATAACCTACGGAGCGATCTGCAAACGTCAGTACAGTGCCGATAAGGTGAACAGTATTACAACTGTGTCATGCTCTGCCCTCAACAAATCAGTCACAGACGTCGGTACTGGGAAATCACACGCGCGTGCACACGAGGTGTCAGGAGACAAACGGGGGATAGTGGAGGCAGCAGATGGTGTACTGAGTACTTGAGTACTGAACTGCCTCATAGGCAGTTGAGCACAGGCTTCGTACACAAGCGAGGGAAGGGCCCCCCCCCAAAATGGAAGAGAGTTCCACCGACTTATCCAGAAGCCTGCGATCGGAAAGTCGAACAACTATTCATTTTCAGCCTACCCGTGCGTACTGTGCCCTAGATCTTAGCAGTATTGGTGTTGATTTTATTATTATTATTATTATTTGTTTCATTTGAGGGGGAGCCCCACAATCTCTGTGGAATTCAGAACCTTCAAAGGTTATACTCTAACCCTAGAAGCAGAAATAGCAATAGAATGGAGTTTGGAGGTGATGGAAATAAATTTGGCCCTTACACCTACCTCTTAAATATTTCCCCATTTTTCGACCGATAATGTAAACCCCGTGATCAAAATGCAAAATGCCAATCAGCTGACTCCAACCACACCAGTGGTGTGGTTCGCTTCATTATAGAAATAATGTGACGGGGCGCCTGGGTGGCGCAGTCGGTTAAGCGTCCGACTTCAGCCAGGTCACGATCTCGCGGTCCGTGAGTTCGAGCCCCGCGTCAGGCTCTGGGCTGATGGCTCGGAGCCTGGAGCCTGTTTCCGATTCTGTGTCTCCCTCTCTCTCTGCCCCTCCCCCGTTCATGCTCTGTCTCTCTCTGTCCCAAAAAATAAATAAAAAACGTTGAAAAAAAATTAAAAAAAAAAAATAATGTGAAATTCACTGCACAATTCCCGAGAAAATGGCTTTCCTCCTTCAGTAAATAATGACTTACCCTTCACAGTACTTAATCATTTTAACATGCCAAATGTCTTATCTGGCAAAACAGAAACGTGCAATAAAGTTATGAAAACGTTTACAGTCGATGCCCAGGCGTGGGCAGGAGGAAGTTTTGGGGAAAATGAGGGAAATAAATGGTTAACTGCCAGCACACACACACTCATGCTAGAGGACACAAAGAGGTTCCCAGCAGTTGATAAATTCATTTAGGGAAACTCACTTTATTTTTCCAACAGAGCTCTCACCAGCTAATCTGTATTACAACCTGCGGGAGTCTTAATATTCTCAGCAGGATCAAGATTCAGGCCACACTGATTCAGCTATTTAATCTTGCAAGAGAACAATATTTGGCAGGAAAAGACCCCACAGCACTGAGGGGACATCCCAGAGGTTCGTCGTCGGCACAGATTGGGCCAGCAACACCGAAGGTGGAAACCAAACAGCGCTAACCAATGTTTATCATCAGCTTTGCGGAGCTCCCTCCTCAGACACGCCAGTACACGCGACCTATGTATGCAAAACATACGTATCGCGTGTGTGTAGGGCTCTTTTCGGGTACGTGTACATTTTTAAGATGCAATATGTTCTGTCGATATTTTGGACCGAGTCCTGAGAAGTTTTTGATTCGAAACTATCCCTACAGAGGGTGAGGGTACAAAAGAGATGAAGAAAAATGGTCATCGCTTTACTTTCAAAACTTTTCAGCCTCTTGAGTACTGAAAACCAAGATGGAGAGAACATGCGTCTGAGTTTTTAAGTGTATGCAAATATTTACATACTAATCTTCTTAGCCACTGTGACATTAATAAGCTGATCGAGGGGTACCTGGGTGGCTCAGTCGGTTGAGCGTCCGACTTCGGCTCAGGTCATGATCTCGCGGTCTGTGGGTTTGAGCCCCGTGTTGGGCTCTGTGCTGACAGCTCAGAGCCTGGAGCCTGTTTCAGATTCTGTGTCTCCCTCTCTCTCTGCCCCTCCCCTGCTCGCATTCTGTCTCTCTTTCTGTCTCTCTTTCTCTCTCTCAAAAATAAACATTAAAAAAATTTTTTTAAATAAGCTAATCGATACTCTGCTATAAGTGCTCATTCTTTTTTTACATTTTGTGTGTAATCTATGGCTTGACTAATTTTGCGTGATATTTTCTGGACACCCCCACTGACAGGCAAACAGGGAATACAGAAAACAGATGGAAGGAGAGGGGCAAACTTTAACGCGAAGTTGATGGCATCTACTGTACAAACAAACAATACGAATCACGATTCAAAAAAGAATGATTTAGTAAAATTCTTCAAAGGCTATTTTCAAGTAACGTTGGCAAGCTTTCAATTCCTTTACCTCCCAAACCTGGCTGGCTACCCCTCTGATAACAGCACAGGGTTTCCCTCTATCGAGCATTAATCATTCTGGGCAGCCATGGTCTGCTTGCCCGTTAGAGGGTGAACACATGAGCTCCATGAGGTCAGGGGTCAAATTTATTTCGTTTCTCATTATATCCCCCGCCTCCTGGCAAAGTGCCTGGCGTATGGTAAACACTCAACAATGTCTGTTGAGTCAGTTAATGTGTTCAAAGTGATTTCTCTTGGAGATTTTATTTTGGCCTTGTAGATACCAAAAATATGCATATTTGAAAATATGATACCAATCTTTCACCAATCTTGCCTCAGTCTGCATTTCAGTAATGGTGTCTCTGTCTCTCTCCACACTCTGACAAGTAGGCGCTAGGTGCTCCCAACCTTATCGTATTCCTTCCTTCCTTCCTTCCTTCCTCGCCTTACAGCTTTTAAGACTGCCCTGCGGCGGTGAAAACCTTGGCCAGCCACTGAAGGCACCCTCACAAGAGTATTAACGCATACACAGAGTGGTTTCTCACTTTCTCCGCCATCTATGGGGCCCGGTGAACGTGAGGTCCACAGCAAATGTTTAAAGAACAAACACATATGCAGCGTAACCGTGAAAGCAACTTCCCCCTTGTCTTATTCATCACAGTTGAAGCACCGTGTTCTAGAAGATTCCAGCATGAGCAAGAAATGCTGCTTGCCCTCAACGGGCTCATCACAATTACACAACAAAAGCAAACATCGAAATCACTCTGTTTGGGAAAATTCAATTCTCGCTCTTGACAATAACAAGTGTTAAGACCAGAATGATTTCTTTAAAGGTTTTTCTCCTTTCATTCTTTTTTCTGCATCTATACTCTATTTCATACTTTCCGAAACAGACAAACTCTGCCATTTTCATCATTGTTCGCAGAAGGCCATGACACGAAAGCTTAATTCAAACGAATTAGAAGTTGACTTGGTTATAGTTAATATAGCCCCAAGAGGAAAAATCCATTGCAAATATAAGCAAACAAAAAAATAAGTGATCATCGCTTCTTGCTTCTTGTCCTTGGAACCAAGCCTAAGGGTACTGCACAAAAGCAACCGGCCCTTCAAAGAGAAATGTAGACATATCCTTTTACAAACAGCATTGCGTGCGATTCTGTACCCAAGACAGAAAGGCTACAGAGCAGGCCTGATGACCGTGAAAGAAAAGGAACCTACGGTAGAAAGTACGAGCAAAAAATAAAGAAAAGCAATTTCCATGACATAATTCTTCTAGGAAAATGAAATGCAAATTAGGGAACATATCTATCTGCATATGCTTACAAAAAGGAAGACATTCTTGCCTCTAACTTCCAGTGGTGCAATTTCCCTTAATTGTATAAACTTGGCTTGGGTTACCAATGGCTTCTAATTAAATCTCTTTATAATGTCTCCTTTGATCATGACCTCTTAATAAGTTGCGACTATTACACTTATTAGCTGGAAGAACAACCGGTTTCAAACCTACCTGCAAAAATCCACCAAAGTTATAATGATGTGGCATAATTATTAATGACGGTCGCATCTGGCAACTCCACAAATATGTAGGCAAGACTACCGGGTCTTCTTTAACGTTCAGTATGTGCTCACAGTAGGTATGTCCCAAAGGGTATAATAAAATCTGGAAGAAAATTCAGATACTCTGTAAGTTTTTAATCTGTATCGTGCACTGGAAATTGCAACATTTTTTAAAAAGCTCATCCTTGGGGCGCCTGGGTGGCGCAGCCGGTTGAGCGCCCGACTTCGGCCAGGTCGCGATCTCGCGGTCCGGGAGTTCGAGCCCCGCGTCGGGCTCTGGGCTGATGGCTCAGAGCCTGGATCCTGTTTCCGATGCTGTGTCTCCCTCTCTCTCTGCCCCTCCCCCGTTCATGCTCTGTCTCTCTCGGTCCCCAAAATAAATCAACGTTGAAAAAAAAAAAAATGTTTAAAAAGCTCATCCTTATTCGGCCTTCCCCGTGGCACAGAAATGTTTCTTTTCCATTGTCACACCTCTGCCCTCCTTTCCCTCACGTCTGTCCAGGCCAGCACAGGACATGTGAGATCTACATTCTGAGCTCCGTCATTCCACTGAGACCTGGAAAACGTAATTACTACTATATGCTATCTTTGTTTCTATAAGTGACTGTGGCTCAAAACCACAAATAAAGAGGCTTGCAAGGGCCAATTAAGGATCGGAAATAGGACCCAGGAGGAAATTCTTTTTTGTTGTTGTTGTTGTTAAAATTGTTCCGTTTGAAAACAGAAAAAAAAAAAAATCTAAAAACCGGATGTAGAAGTTTTCCTGAGATGACACAAGGTATTGTAATCCACCTCTACTAAAGAAGCTGACTTATGATAGGAGCTTATGATTACAAAATGTATATTACTTAGTTATCTCAAAAGTCCCTATGATGTATGCAGATCACTTCTCATTTGTCCCCATTATGGACTGAATTGTGTCCCCTCCCCCAAAACTCGCATCTTGAAACCCTAAGCCCCAGTGTGACTGTCTTTGGAGATGGAAATTTTAAAAAGGTAGTTCAGGTTAAATGAGGTCAAAGGCTGGGGCCCTGATCCAATTCAACTGGTGTCCTTCCAAGAAGAGGAAGAGACACCAGAGACCTCTTTCTCTTATACACATACATGTAGGAAAAGGCCATATGAGGACACAGTAAGAAAGTGTGCTCTCCCAGCCAAGACCAGAGCTGTCACCAGAAGTCAATCCTGCTGGCCCTTGATCCTGGACTTCCTGCCTCTGGAACGGTGAGAAAATAAATTTCTGTGATTTAAGCCACGCAGCCTGTGATATTTTGTTATGGCAGCCTGGACAGTCTAATGCAAGTCCCATTTATCAGATATTTAGACACAATAAGATAAGATACGATAAGATGAGATAATATATGATAAGATAAGACAAGATAAAAATAAATTGCCTGACATTTTAAAACAGGGGTGGTCGGTGGATTTCTAATACACTGATATTCTGAATTCTTTTTTTTTTCAATGTTTATTTTTAAGACAGAGAGAGAGAGAGAGAATGAGTGGGGGAGGTATAGACAGAGAGGGAGACATAGAACCCAAAGCAGCTCCAGGCTCTGAGCTGTCAGCACAGAGCCCAATGTGGGGCTCGAACTCATCAACCGCTAGATCATGACCTGAGCCGAAGTCAGACGTTTAACCGACTGAGCCACCCAGGCGCCCCTAATACAGTGAAATTCTTTTTTTTTTTAATTTTTTTTTCAACGTTTTTATTTATTTTTGGGACAGAGAGAGACAGAGCATGAACAGGGGAGGGGCAGAGAGAGAGGGAGACACAGAATCGGAAGCAGGCTCCAGGCTCCTGAGCCATCAGCCCAGAGCCTGACACGGGGCTCGAACTCACGGACCGCGAGATCGTGACCTGGCTGAAGTCGGACGCTTAACCGACTGCGCCACCCAGGTGCCCCGTTAATACAGTGAAATTCTTAAATGCCACATTAGAAAGCAAATGTTCCTGCTTTACTGAGAAAATACTGCTATAAACTTTCGACGAAAACTATAGAAATCACTAAGTGTTTAAGTAAAAATAGGAGAAAGTGAAAAAAATGGGTGTTCTGAAGCAACACAAAACAAACAACAAATTTGAAGCAACTTTCAAAGCTAAGAACTCTCTGGGGGGCACCTGGATGGCGCAGTCGGTCAGGCATCCGACTCTCGATTTCGGCCCAGGTCATCATCTCACAGTTTGTGACTTCCAGCCCCTTGTCAGGCTCTGTGCTGACACCGTGGAGCCCGCTTGGGATTCTCTCTCTCCCTCTCTCTCTCTCTCTCTACTCCTCCCCTGCTCGCGCACACTCTCAAGATAAATAAATAAACTCTGAAGAAAAAAAAAAAGCTATGAACTCCCTTGCAAAGAGAGGTTTCAAGAGAAAGAGTGTGCAAATTTGTCAATATTTTAAATATTATCACTTCATTCATGTACACAACATACATTTCCTGAGCACATGCTATGTTGTCAAGCACTATTCCAGGCATTAGCAATTTTGTGTTGAAAGGATGTGCTGGTTCCCTACCCTACTGTGGTGCATATCCTAGGAAAGATCTGATTTGCTTAGACTGAGAAGTGGATGGTAAGGCAGACTCTTCTGAAAAAGAAAAAGAAAAAAAAAAACTTGAGGAAATAATACCCTTAAAAGGATTCAGTCATGGGGCACCCGGGTGGCTCAGTTAGTTAAATGTCTAACTTTGGCTCAGGTAATGATCTCACAGCTCCCCTCATCAGGCTCTGAGCTGACAGCATGGAACCTGCTTCAGACTCTCTGTCTCCCTCTCTCTCTCTCTGCCCCTCCTTCATGCACACTCTCTCTCTCTCAAAAATAAATAAACGTTAAAAAAAAATTCGGTCATTTCCTAAGTGAGTATTAGGCAACTTCATTGTGCTACAGAATGATGGAATGAAGGAAAGATCTGGGAGTTTTAAGGAAGGAAATTGATGTCTGCACAGACCTTAAAAGAGATGCTTTGATTAAGATAGATCCAGAGCTATCAGAACGGCTTGTAATAATCTCCGCTGTACGGTGAAATTCACACAAGACTGGAGGGGATTCGCTGGTCAAAGTATCAAAATGGGTGTGTTTACAGAAGCAGTCCTGGTTAGGCCATCGGGGAGCCAACAGCCTCGGGCACAGTGAGAAGCCTTGAGAAGAAGGTATGTTGGGCCAAGAAGTTAATGCATCCACTTATCAAACGTGGCTCCGTGTTCGGCCCTGGGGTGACAGAGAAAAAGCCTGAACCTTCATAGAGTTCAGTTCAGGAGGAAGATAACTCAGCATGCAGTTCCAGAACGAGACTGCCAGGATGCCAAGAGAAAGAGGAAGGCCAGGGAAGAAGAGGTAGGCTCTGGGCGTAGAAGGGATATGGAAAGGGTACAAAGAACCTTCCAGATGGAAGTGTAAAGTGCATAGGGCTGAGGGTTCAAGAGGGACCCCCAGGCTGGAGATCTCATCTGGCAATAAACCACAGACAGTCTCATATTCCCTGCCACAGTATTTGCATTTCATCCCAAAGGCAATAGGGAGCAAGAGATAGATTTTAAGGTAGAAAGTGACGTGATCAGATGTGCATTTTAGGAACTTGCAAGAAACCACAAAGAGAGCAGCTCGGGAGGGAGAAGAGGCAGTCCTGTGGCAGGCAGGAGCAGTTTAGAGACTTCTTCCCACAACCAAGCGAGGGCAGGGAGGGCCAAGGATGTGACCAGAAAGGTGAAGTACAAAGCACCATGATATGCATTCTTAGAGAGGCAAAAAATAAACTGAAGAAGACGTGGATGGTCTTCATCTTCCTGAAGCTAGAGAAGTAAAGCACATAACCAGTGAAAATGCTCCTTCAGACCAAACTGTAGAACGTGATGTGTGAAATGAGCGGTGCGGCTAATGGTGCCATCGAGCAAAGCACTGTCGTGATTGGGAGAGGAGAAAGATCACGGTAGCTGGGGTCTGAGTGTGGGTCCAGGATCATTTACAGACACTGTGAAATTGTGCCAAACGAGAGGAGTGACTCATGCAAAAGCCCAGGACAGACTAACTTAGTCTAAAGTTAGCCTAAAAGAAACGGAAGAACCGTGTTGACAGGCAGTGAAAGATACGGGGAAAAGTAATTTAGGAGCCGATCGTGGAGGGCCCTGAGAGTCGGAATGAAAGAGCTTCGGAGATTAGACTTTGTCCTACGCAGAGTGGAGCTCCCAGGGAAGTTCTTAGTGAATCATAATTAGGGTCTTGATGAAAGAGATATTTTAGAAAGACTCATCTGGTGCCAGTGTTCAAGATACAATGGAAAATCTCCAGAAGGAGCCTGGAAGGAGAGAAGGCCAATTAGGAGGTCCCGCAATAACTCAGGCAGGCTAAGGGGCCTGAACGCAGGGGAAGAGAAAAGAAAAGAATGAGGGAAAGGAATTTCACTAAAGAAGGATCTTCAGAAATTGTTTGCGGGATCGTTAATCTCTGTTTCCAAAAAAAAAAAAAAAAAAAAAAAAAAAAAGTCATATGTGTTAATTCTTTTACTCTGGGGGCCCTCCCCCACCTCCCGTTTAGACAATGCCATTTTACAGCCACAACCCTTGTACTTGCCATGCACAAGTAATTACTGGTCTGGGATGTATTTGTTTCTTTAAGTGGCTGTGGCTAAAAACCGGAGGATAAAAAGAAGAGATCAACCTTTGAAGTTCTGCCCTAGGTGGAAAAATAAAGCAAAACCAGGTGTAAGGGAAACCACGGATTTGGACACGAGAAAGCACCGAGAGGTGATTTTCCGTACATTTTTCTCATGAAAGTCTAAGTGTTCCTTATAGAAATACTTTCCCTGAGGAGAGGTTGTTCAGAGAATCTAATTAGACTGGGTATGTCAAAGTGTTTCGAAACAAATAAAGCATTCATACATGTGTTCGGTATTATAAGGAAAATACATGTGAATGCCCTATCACCTTCTCTGACATATTGGATCTTTGCTTTAAAGATAATGCTACTTACCCACTATTACTCAGGAATACATGGGAGTTACCAGTTGAGACAAGTTGGAGGTAAGGTACAGCCCATTACAGTGACATATAAATTCACTCTGTGAAAATACTCCAAGGGCTTAAATCTAAGCTACTGACCTAATAACGATCTCTGTTATTTCATCTACGCTAATCAACCTGGTTATGAGTTGTATCAAGAAAACCGTACGATTCTCCTCTCCAACTACTTAATGTATTAGACTTTACCACTCAAAATCAGAAGCTTTCAGATAAATGTTCCATGGCATATAAAACAGTTATGTTTCTTGTGTAAGGAACAAAACTAACAAATACTCTCTGTCAACACTGAATGTCTTTCTGATTTTTACCTTCCTCGCCTTTAAAAAAAGAAACTTTTTTATGTTTGCTGAATGTAAAAAGAAAGAGAAATCCTTCTGTATCAGTTGTTCGGGTTCATAGAAGACCTAATTGCCTCTTACACTGTATTTCGCCACCAGTTTACAATTAGCATGCATTTCTCATGCATGAGTTGACCCAATTACATAACAAATTTTGCCTTTGGGGATTTCTCTTGACTGCTTGTCTTCTGTCCACCATACAACTCAATTTCACACCGTCAGCAGCCTGAACATGGCCACAGTCAGTCTCTGTCAAAATGATTTATTTAAATTACAAACAGAGACCAGATCCCTAGATAATCATCCCTACCCTCCTGCTCACCCTTACACTCAACCTAACTTTGAATCAAATATTTTAATAGCCCATAGACACTGCTATTCAATTATTAGACCGTGTTTGCCTCCAATAATCTAATATTTTTGAAGCTAACTCACAAAATCTCAGGGAACTAAATCATCAGCATCCGTGTGAGCTTATTAATGGACACATAATTTATTTTGCATTCTAAGAAGTCAATGAAAAATTATGTAGCTGTATCAAAAAAGCTAAAAATAATTACATTTCAATATCAAATTAGAGAAGAGACTCTTTGCTCTGTAACGTTTTTTTATTTTTTATTTTATTTTTTATTTTTATTTTTTAAATTTTTTTAACGTTTTATTTTTATTTTTGAGATAGAGAGAGACAGAGCATGAACGGGGGAGGGGCAGAGAGAGAGGGAGACACAGAATCAGAAGCAGGCTCCAGGCTCTGAGCCATCAGCCCAGAGTCCGATGCGGGGCTCGAACTCACGGACCGTGAGATCGTGACCTGAGCTGAAGTCGGACGCTTAACCGACTGAGCCACCCAGGCGCCCCTGTAATGTTTTTTTATAAAAAGGCTTCAATCTTAGCTTTTCTTGTGAAGCAAGTGAACATTTTATGAATGGCTACAACTACGTTGAAAATGGTAGTAAGAAGGGGTATTTGGGAAACAGGAAAGATAACCAAACCTATAGATTCTGACGGGGGAAGGGAAGGAATATAGAGTGGGTGAAAATATTATTGCCTGTGTTGTCTATGGGCCAGTGATCTAAGGAAAGGGTGTTTTAAAGATGCCCACTGAAGCCAACACACGCAGGCACACTGCATGCATACACACACACACACACACACACACACACACACATACACACACAAATTATTTCCTCTGTGAGTCAAGGACAGACACAAATCTTGACAAATCACCTAATGGCAGACTTACCAGTCAGTCCGCAAAATACAGGATCCTGTCATCTGGTTTTGGCGGGGGGGGGGGGAGGGTTCCCCTTCCCCCCCATATATTTCTCCATTACCTAAAGTAAATTAGAAAATAAACATCTAGATTTTATCCATAGCACAAAGATTTTAAAAGTCTCTTGGGGTTGGACTTTACCCTTTCATTTCACAATTTATCTATAGACTGTCTCAGCTAATTAAAAGCGCAGCTTAAATGAGCGCGTAAGCAGGCAGAATGAAACACATCAATAATCTTCTCAAGGCCCGACCTAGTCCCTTAGATGTCAGCAGTGATTCTCTGCCCAACTGCAGGTATTCTGAATGCCCTGCTTATAAACCTGAAGGTGGTAACCACCAGCGTCAGAAACCACCTTTCCAATTACCCACACGAGCTAGAGGTCTGAGGACAACAGGAAAAACGGTTTTTGAAAATGTCCAAAGGCACAGTATTCTTTGATACAAGACTGTACGTGGTCTTTTAAGAACATTTCCCTAAAATATCAAGAAGTAAAGAAAATGTGGAGCTCCACCAGGTCATGTCTGCCCTTTCTGAATTTCTACCCTGGACTTTGGTGGGTCATGGGAGGACACAATTAGGCATTCTCTGGAATTTTCTGGAATTTTGTTGTTGTTGTTGTTGTTTCAGAAACCATTCTGTTTCTTTCCAACCATTCAGTAAATTCTGAAACCTGGCCTCTTTTCTTATTCTTTCTGCAGCTACACTAAGTCGGTAATATAAGAGAGGAGTTTTAAATTGCAGCATTTCATAAATCTCCCAGATTCAATATGCTGTCATTACAGATCCCCCCCAAAAAAAGAAGTCAAGGCTAAACCCACGTTCACCCCTTTCATTACACACAATTTCAAATTTATGGGTTGTGTTCTATCCCACATCTCAGTAACAGATGCAGACTGAGTGGGTATTTCCAAATGATTTCAAATCCTGCACAAATGAATCAGAGTGGCTGAGAGAATTTCATAACACCAATACAGACACAAGCAATCAAAAATGCCCATTCATCCACAGCACATTGCCCAAAACACCTAAGAGGTGTCATTAAATCCAGTTTTATGTCTTTCTACTTTCTTTAGTCTGAAAGGGATTAAAGGCAGCTTAGAAAGATCCATACAATATTCAAAGATTAAAAATAAGGAAAACAAGTAAGTAAAAGGAAACACAAACAAGAAAATGAAGCAAACGGAAAAATAAAGATTACAAAGACCTCGACTTAATAACCCACCTACATCAGCCTGTATTAAACTTGTAGCTTGAATGTCATAGGGCTTATAATTTCAGAATGAGTCTGCTCATCCGAGCACCCCGAGCAGGCAAATTCTGGTGGAGACCAGTCTGGACACTTTCTCACCCCCTTCCCTCTCCAAACAGACACAGTCCAGGCCACTGTCAAAAATATCTGTCTGGATTTGGCGCACATGTTTCGGTATTTGGGTTTATCTGAAAGTAATGTGGAAAATTGGGCTAACCAAAGTGCCACCTTCCATATTAGCCCGAGTTTCTTAGAGAAAAAAAAAAAAAAAAAAAAAAAAGATCTTTGAGTAATGTGGAAAACCCTGTGAGGTCACGGAAAAAGTTCATAAAGTTGCAGCCTTGTTAATGAATAAAAAATTCACGAGACCTCAGTATATTTAACAGTTTCCTTTCTTCAGGAATAAATCCCTAATGGTAATATTATGATATCTATATTCTTTACTGCTATTCAAACATGACTACGCCTCACCATGACTTAAGAACCAGCACTCCTTGGAACACTGGTAAGGGGCTAACATAAGACAACCGCAAATAAAATAAAATAAAATAAATTTAGGTGTCACCTCAATTATATGCTTTTAAAAATCAGTGTTGTCAAGCAAATAACCCAGTGAAGAAATGGGCAGAAAACATGAATAGACACTTCTCTAAAGAAGACATCCGGATGGCCAACAGGCACATGAAAAGATGTTCAGCGTCGCTCCTTATCAGGGAAATACAAATCAAAACCACACTCAGGTATCACCTCACGCCAGTCAGAGTGGCCAAAATGAACAAATCAGGAGACTATAGATGCTGCAGAGGATGTGGAGAAACGGGAACCCTCTTGCACTGTTGGTGGGAATGCAAATTGGTGCAGCCGCTCTGGAAAGCAGTGTGGAGGTTCCTCAGAAAATTAAAAATAGACCTACCCTATGACCCAGCAGTAGCACTGCTAGGAATTTATCCAAGGGACACAGGAGTACTGATGCATAGGGGCACTTGTACCCCAATGTTCATAGCAGCACTCTCAACAATAGCCAAATTATGGAAAGAGCCTAAATGTCCATCAACTGATGAATGGATAAAGAAATTGTGGTTTATATACACAATGGAATACTACGTGGCAAAGAGAAAAAATGAAATATGGCCTTTTGTAGCAACGTGGATGGAACTGGAGAGTGTGATGCTAAGTGAAATAAGCCATACAGAGAAAGACAGATACCGTATGGTTTCACTCTTATGTGGATCCTGAGAAACTTAACAGGAACCCATGGGGGAGGGGAAGGAAAAAAAAAAAAAAAAGAGGTTAGAGTGGGAGAGAGCCAAAGCACAAGAGACTCTTAAATAAAACTGAGAACAAACTAAGGGTTGATGGGGGGTGGGAGGGAGGAGAGGGTGGGTGATGGGTATGGAGGAGGGCACCTTTTGGGATGAGCACTGGGTGTTGTATGGAAACCAATTTGACAATAAATTTCATATATAAATTAAATAAATAAATAAATAAATAAATAAATAAATAAATAAATAAAAAATAAATAAAAAAAATAATAAAAATCAGTGTTGTCTACATCACAGGCTTAATCCAAATGGTATTTGTATATACTGCCATGTATATGATACATACAGATTCATACGTCCCTATACGTACCTGTGTTAAAAGGGGTTTTTGCGTAATTAAGAATGGATCTGCAAACAGCTCCACGTGTTGAATAAAATGTACATTCCTGCTAATGATAAAGGTTGGTGAAATGATCAGTTCTTTTCTTATTAAATATGAATATTGACTTAATTTGAATATAAATTAAAGGGCTTACCTTTCGACTGACTGCAATCCTTATGGTAGCTGTCCCATGGATGTCTTAGAGTAGAAATGTTTAGTTCTTTTTGAAATATATTTCTGTGACAGTTTGTGACTTACGATATAACTTTCTTTTGTGTGGCATTATTTTGGGTTTTGTTTTGTTTTTTTTCTCAAGTTCCCCAAAAATAATCCAAAGAAAGCAACGTTATTCTGTGTAACTGCCAGTGCCGTACCCCTAACTCACATTTTGAAAAACAAAAATCACTTTTTAATTTAAAGAAAGAAGGAAGAGGAAGAAAGATGAGGGCAGTAACACATGACTTGGTGGGTTGTCGGGACGGGGGAGAAAAACGAGGGGACAAAAGACGTGAATCTTTAAAATGCATCCCTTTTACCTTCAAAGGAAAAAAAAAGTTCTTACAAACCTAAAATGTCCATTTAAAGAGCAAATAATGAATAAACCTTAGGGAATTTGGCAAAACAAAGTGTTCCCTCCACCTCCTGTTATTCCCTAAAGAAGTTTTTTCAAAACATCACATCGCTGTGGTTTTTTTTTTTCACAAATAAAATTCTTTCTCAAATTGTATACTACAATTTTATCTCCAAGTTGTTATATATAATGATGACGGCCAAACATCAGCGAGTTTAAACCATCTGCTAATTAAACACTTCCTGGAAATTAAGGCTCCATTGTTTATAACATCTATAAACATCGTTTATAACACACAAAGTTCGGTGGAAGTAATACACAAGATACACTTCTCATGAAACACGGCATGAATCTTGCAGATTTGTGCATACTTCTGTATCATGTACATAGTTGTCAATTTTCATACGTATGTCCTCTTGGATATCTAACACTGAACTGATTTTTTTTTTCTGAAAAAAAAATACATTGCGACAAACTTCAAAGAAACTTTGGAAGAAACATAATCACAGGCATGAATTATGAAAATGAAGATAAGCTATTTATCTGCCTTCACGTAGTACGGAATTAACACTTTTGGTCCCTAATGTGCTGGGAAGTGATGCTCTCCTCAATTTTCTTTGTCAGGAAAAATATATTACTTAACGAGATACAGCTTTCAAATCCACAGCAACGTCATACGTAAATGTTTGTTTCAGAAATTCGATGGAATATATCATTTCAACAAATTTCTAGTTTAAAGTGTGAAAGCTTACATACACACAATTGGCAAAATAAGATTATTCAAGATACTTAGCCTTATGTGTATATATTTTTTGTCTGATTAGCCACAGCCAAAACCAAAACTGTCAGGTGTATAATTTTACCTATAAAAGTCCTGTTTTGGAAAAACGCAAAAGCGGAGAACCATTAAAAATGGCATAAGATGCTAAATTATAACAACTCTTTTAATAGCTATGACTATATTTCTAAATACACAATTCTTGTCATCAAGTTGATCTCTCTAGTAAACGCATTTCGCAAGTCGCTTTAATGAAATAAGTTAAATATCTATTCAGAAATATAGTCGTTGCTATTAAAGTGTGAGGCTCTAGGTAACCGTGATGAAATCAAACGGAAGGAGTTTCCCAGTTGAGCCTGGCATATCTTATGAGCACCTTGAGAACCGCTTGCCCACAGTAGCGACAAGGACACCTCCAAGTCCCAACCTCATTCTCTCATCCAGACTCGCGAGTTAGGGCGATCGAGGCACCAAACAGTCACCTACGTTACTGATTTGCTCCTGAGTCCTCTTCAGCCTCTGGAGTTCAGGAGTGTCCGTGACGATGCTGAACCCCCTCCCTTTGCTTTCTTCAAAATCTCTTTTGTACTTGACCTAACAGAAGGGAGGGGAGTGAAAGAAAGGAAACGAAAGGTCAACAGAGGAACCACAGATCCCACTCAGGGAAGGCCAGGGCCCGAGAAGCTGCTAAAATGGGAAGCAGTGCCTCCCGACGGCAGGTGGCAGAGGGAGAGGGCCACAAAGCGTGGCCCAGCTGCCTGGTCTGTATCCTATCAATTGCGCCGACTGCGTGACCCTAGGCAAGTCACTAAACCACTCTGAGCTCCGGTGGTCTCATTCTATTTTGTAAGGCAAAGCATATGGATACGATTATACAATGCAATATTACCAAATGTCAAGTATATAAATGCTATGGAAATATTTATAAAACAGGCCACACCTAGAGATTAAAAGGCTCCAAGCACATGCCCCCGGCATACTCTGCTGAGGTACCTACGATTTTTTTTTTCGGTATTTAAATACACTTCTTTTCTAATTACAACGCAGCGAAGCTGAATTTTACAGTTTCCTCGAGGGACCAGAATAGCTAATGCTTAATCTTACTAGAGCCCCATCTCCTATTATTAGCATAATGACGACAACTGTCACACCCGTTAAATATTCATTCTGCTTGTTAGTGACCGAAATGGTTCTATCACTTTATTCTTATTTCTCTAAAATCTAAACATCAAGTAATATGGAAACGCATTTTTGATGTCCCACACAATCCCCGTTTTACATTCATCATCACTGGGCTTAAGTCAACACTTCAATTAATAGCTAACATTGAGGGTGCTAATAAAAACATGATTCTGTAAGGGCAACTTTCTGTATAAATTTGAAAAGTTCTCTTAGTTGAGTATAGAATGACTGTTTTTGTTGAGTCATGTCTGCGTTTAAATAGTCAGTTCTCTCAGGCATTACTGTCCTTGAGGCTACCGAAAAATTTCCTTTTCCCAGAAAAGCTTGGGAAAAAAAAAAAAAAAAAACTTCCCAAATGTCAACAAATAGAAAGATTTAGACCCTCCCATCACCCGTAGCTTAAGAATATCTAATTTTCTCTCCGTATTTTCATCTAAATTTGTGAAAGTACTACAACCCTTACTCTTACTATTTCCATAAATAAAAGGTCAAATACACCTCGTGGTTTTTCTTTCATGGAAAATGCTGAATGGGATTAGCCTTCTCACCCTCAAACCCCCAGCACGTGAGAAGATACATAGTCCCGTACGTTCTTGTTGTCGTATGTCTACGCAGAGAAGCCATTCAGCTTTGCTTGAAGGAAGCACAGCACACAAGGTCATAAAATAATAAAAGTAGGAAAGATGACAAGGCTGTAACAGTGACAGCCATGAAGAAGTGAGAAGAAAAATCCGTAAGCCAGATTCGGACACCCCTAACACCAGTTTCAGGGAAGGCACATATTCTTTTTGGGATTAGTTTAAGGGTGTTTGTTTGTTTGTTTGTTTGTTTGTTTTAATGGTGATTTCCAAAGAAAGAACTGAAAAGACAACTCATTAAATTCCAGATTCATAGAGTTGATCACAATTGAACAGTCCTTCCCACATCCACAAGACACACAAGAATCACCTGACTCAGGCTTGTCTCATTAAGGGAGTAGCTTTGAGAAGCACACGATCACCTCCGTAACTGGTCTGCAGGGTTTTAGAAGACGTTCAATCCTTCTTGGCGGTATGATCCACAACCAGGCCTCATATACTGTCAGTCCCAACACACATGCCACCCACCCAGGACACCTTTACCGCATACAGGGACCCCGGCAGCCACAGTCACCTCTTCTCTTGTCTCCCATTCACTTACGTCCTCTCTCTCCCCTTAGGTCTAATTTTCAATGTTCTCACTCATGATCTGCCAGCCACGCATAGTCTGATTCTGAGAGACAAGTGGATATAAAAAGAGATCAGAGGACAGAGGGAGGAGGATTCTTCGCTTCTATCTCACGTGTCCCCTTTGCCCTCACAACATGACCCCATCCTGCCAACGAGAATGCTGCACCCTTGAGCCCAGAGCTTGACCCGTACTGGACCCATAATCCAGCACAGGCCCATGAGTCCCAGATCTGGGACCCTGGGAGGAACCCTTGAGGAAGGGGTGCTGTTTCTCCATGGTAACTGTAAAAACTGAAGCTGCCCATCATGATCCGGCCACCCCCCGGTAGTGACGAAGCCAATACAGAGGCAAGCAGAGCAAGAGACCTAGAGGAAGTCTTGGTCAGCCACCAGGTTTACCCGTTAAGTGAGCTAAAACCATTAAGGTTTACCCGTTAAGTCTCTCCTTTTACAATCAAAAGACTTCTGATTGACACAACCTCCTCTCACCCTGCCGAAAACGGATACGCACGTACAACAAGGTTCCCGGTAAATATGAACATGTGAGTTTCTCCTCTGTGACCTCTAATGCTCTGGTCCTTCCTATTTGCGATGCCAGGTTTCATCATTTACAAAAACAATGGGTTCGATCTCGGAAAAGCGTCGCTTTAGCGGCCAAGAGCCTGGAACGCTCATCCATCCCTGCACTTCTCAACCACCTCGCACGTCTTCTAGCTTCTCTGAGTCAGTCTCCTCATCTCTGATTAGAGATTCTAGCAATTTCTTAACTAACAGATCTATAGAGACGGAGATAGAACACAGGAAAGAACTTTAGGAAGAATAAGGTCCTGTGCAAATTCTCAGCATGGCCATCATTATATTGGTTTTGCTTGATGTGAAAGGATGATACGGTATTTGTCATGAAACATTAAAAAGAACAGCTGTACAGGAATAAGCTAATGAACAAAATATATTAAGAATTAGCCATTAGTCTACATTTACAAATGTTACTCAAGTCATTCTAGAACAGAAACTGATTTTTTGTGTGTGTGGGATCTGAGCCAATGATCAGACCCCTACGTAGCACCTTAGCTATGTCACTCGGTGATCACACAGGTGGAAATGAGTTCTGAACCCATCTGTGCAGGTGCTGGGCGACAATCTGTCTTTGCCAACAGTCAACACCACATGCTGTGCAAATCTTGTAAGAACTGTATGAAGAGCATTCTTGTAAGACTACCGGGGGCTCTCTGTCACTGACAGAATGTTCCCTCTTCCTCCCTACCCTGAGCCCATGGGAAGCATAATCCATTTATTCATCAAAGCTCAGTGCCAGTGATGCTCCTCTGTGAGCAGGACGGGCCTCCCCCCAGTCTGGGGCCCCACAGCTCTACACCTGCCTATTAGAGTAGTTCCCACCCTGAACTACACTTAAGGTGGGGTCATAGTGCCCCACTCTAGAGCACAGGAACACAGTGACAAGGGCAAAATCTTACAGATCTTCCTAATCCCAGAAACTAGCAGAGCACCTGGCTCATTAAGATTAAGAAAAAGAAGGAAGAGAGAAGAGAAAGAGAAAGAAGAGGGATGAAGACAGAGGGGCCCAGCACAGGCCCATGAGTCCCGGATCCGGGACCCTGGGAGGAACCCTTGGGAAAGGGTGCTCTTTCTCCACAGTCTAGATCAGTAGGCTGTTAAAAACTGAACCTGCCCATCATGACCCGGCCACCCCCCAGTAGTGACAAAGCCTCTCTACCTCCCCCTGAAGAGGCATTCTCAAAGTCAAAGGTAAGAAATACACACAACAGGCAACTTGATTTGACATATTTTTCTTCAGAAGAAACTTAAAATTGTATTTCAAGGGGTGCCTGGGCAGCTCAGCTTGTTAAGCATCTGTCTCAAGATCTCAAGGTTCGGGGGCGCCTGGGTGGCTCAGTCGGTTGAGCACCCGACTTCGGCTCAGGTCATGATCTCGCGGTTCGTGAGTTCGAGCCCCGCGTCGGGCTCTGTGCCAACAGCTCGGAGCCTGGAGCCTGCTTCCGATTCTGTGTCTCCTTCTCTCTCTGCCACTACCCCACTCACACTCTGTCTCTCTCTCAAAAATAAATAAACATTAAAAAAACAATTTTTTTAAAAAGATCTCAAGGGGGGCGCCTGGGTGGCGCAGTCGGTTGGGCGTCCGACTTCAGCCAGGTCACGATCTCGCGGTCCGTGAGTTCGAGCCCCGCGTCGGGCTCTGGGCTGATGGCTCGGAGCCTGGAGCCTGTTTCCGATTCTGTGTCTCCCTCTCTCTCTGCCCCTCCCCCGTTCATGCTCTGTCTCTCTCTGTCCCAAAAATAAATAAACGTTGAAAAAAAAAATTTAAAAAAAATAATAATAAAAAAAAAAATAAAAAAATAAAAAGATCTCAAGGTTCGTGGGATCAAGCCATCCATCAGGCTCTGTGCCGACAGTGGGGATCCTGCTTAGGATTCTCTCTCTCTCTCTCTCTCTCTCTCTGCCCCTCCCCCTCTCAAAAAAATAAACTTAAAAAATGCATTTCAAACACTGAAGGCAACATAATATTGCCATGCTATGTTTACATGTATGTGCACATATATACATAAGCACACACGTGATAATCTTCCTGTACTACAGATTAGAACCCTAAATTAAGACTCAAAAGACCTGAATTTAAACCTTAATTCTGTCCTGTGATCTTAGTTTGTTCAATTTTTCTAACACTCCTGATCTTCAACTATAAAACGGAAAAAGAAAAGAAAAAAAAAAAGCAATATGCTACACAATATCTGGAGGGTTAAAGTTAACATACAAAAGCATCAAGCAAGGACAGGCCATCAGTAGGTCGCCAGGAAACACTACTTTTGTCCTTGCCGCTAAATTTCAAAAATGACCTTTGTGGCTTACGTATGATTATTTCTGCCAGCGTGTACATGCTCGGCGACATTCTGTTTGGAGACACCAGCAAGTACCCCTCCCAAGTTCACACAGAGGAAGAGCCTGGAAACCAGGGTGGTTCTGGCCCAGCTTAAGAAGAAGGCTCAGAATGACTGAAAAGGAAGACTTATTAAAAGCAAAATGGTGGGGCGCCTGGGTGGCACAGGGGGTTAA